AGTATGTGAGGTGAAGTATGTGAGGTGAAGTATGTGAGGTGAAGTATGTGAGGTGCAGTATGTGAGGTGAAGTATGTGAGGTGAAGTATGTGAGGTGAAGTATGTGAGGTGAAGTATGTGAGGTGCAGTATGTGAGGTGCAGTATGTGAGGTGCAGTATGTGAAGTGCAGTATGTGAGGTGAAGTATGTGAGGTGCAGTATGTGAGGTGAAGTATGTGAGGTGAAGTATGTGAGGTGAATTATGTGAGGTGAAGTATGTGAGGTGAAGTATGTGAGGTGAAGTATGTGAGGTGCAGTATGTGAGGTGGAGTATGTGAGGTGAAGTATGTGAGGTGAATTATGTGAGGTGAAGTATGTGAGGTGCAGTATTGAGGTGAAGTTTGTGAGGTGAAGTATGTGAGGTGAAGTGTGTGAGGTGAAGTGTGTGAGGGGCAGTGTGTGAGGTGAAGTATGTGAGGTGAAGTATGTGAGGTGAAGTATGTGAGGTGAAGTATGTGAGGTGAAGTATGTGAGGTGAAGTATGTGAGGTGCAGTATGTGAGGTGCAGTATGTGAGGTGCAGTATGTGAGGTGCAGTATGTGAGGTGCAGTATGTGAGGTGCAGTATGTGAGGTGCAGTATGTGAGGTGAAGTATGTGAGGTGAAGTATGTTTGGTGAAGTATGTGAGGTGCAGTATGTGAGGTGCAGTATGTGAGGTGCAGTATGTGAGGTGCAGTATGTGAGGTGCAGTATGTGAGGTGCAGTATGTGAGGTGCAGTATGTGAGGTGAAGTATGTGAGGTGAAGTATGTGAGGTGAAGTGAGGTGCAGTATGTGAGGTGCAGTGAGGTGCAGTATGTGAGGTGCAGTATGTGAGGTGAAGTATGTGAGGTGCAGTATGTGAGGTGAAGTATGTGAGGTGCAGTATGTGAGGTGAAGTATGTGAGGTGAAGTATGTAAGGTGAAGTATGTAAGGTGAAGTATGTAAGGTGAAGTATGTGAGGTGAAGTATGTGAGTGAAGTATGTGAGGTGAAGTATGTGAGGTGAAGTATGTGAGGTGAAGTATGCAAGGTGAAGTATGCAAGGTGCAGTATGTGAGGTGCAGTATGTGAGGTGCAGTATGTGAGATGAAGTATGAGGTGAAGTATGTGAGGTGCAGTATGTGAGGTGCAGTATGTGAGGTGCAGTATGTGAGATGAAGTATGTGAGGTGAAGTATGTGGGGTGAAGTATGTGAGGTGCAGTATGTGAGGTGCAGTATGTGAGGTGCAGTATGTGAGATGAAGTATGTGAGGTGAAGTAATGTTTGGTTAAGTATGTGAGGTGCAGTATGTGAGGTGCAGTATGTGAGATGAAGTATGTGAGGTGCAGTATGTGAGGTACAGTATGTGAGGTGCAGTATGTGAGGTGCAGTATGTGAGGTGAAGTATGCGAGGTGAAGTATGTGAGGTGAAGTGAGGTGCAGTGAGGTGCAGTGAGGTGCAGTATGTGAGGTGCAGTATGTGAGGTGCAGTATGTGAGGTGCAGTATGTGAGGTGCAGTATGTGAGGTGCAGTATGTGAGGTGAAGTATGTGAGGTGAAGTATGTGAGGTGCAGTATGTGAGGTGAAGTATGTGAGGTGAAGTATGCAAGGTGAAGTATGTGAGGTGCAGTATGCGAGGTGAAATATGTCAGGTGCAGTATGTAAGGTGCAGTGTGCGAGGTGCAGTATGTGAGGTGCAGTATGCGAGGTGAAGTATGCAAGGTGAAGTATGCAAGGTGAAGTATGCGAGGTGAAGTATGTGAGGTGAAGTATGCGAGGTGAAGCATGCGAGGAAGTATGTGAGGTGCAGTATGCGAGGTGAAGTATGCAAGGTGAAGTATGTGAGGTGAAGTATGTGAGGTGAAGTATGCGAGGTGCAGAATGTGAGGTGCAGCATTTGAGGTGCAAAATGTCAGGCACAGAATGTCAGGTACAGAATGTCAGGTACAGAATGTCAGGTACAGAATGTCAGGTACAGTATGTCAGGTACAGAATGTCAGGTACGGTATGTCAGGTACAGAATGCCAGGCACAGAATGTCAGGTACAGAATGCCAGGCACAGAATGTCAGGTACGGTATGTCAGGTACAGAATGTCAGGTACAAAATGTAAGGCACAGAATGTCGGGCGCGGAATGTCGGGCGCGGAATGTCGGGCGCGGAATTTCGGGCGCGGAATGTCGGGCGCGGAATGTCGGGCGCGGAATGTCGGGCGCGGAATGTCGGGCGCGGAATGTCGGGCGCGGAATGTCGGGCGCGGAATGTCGGGCGCGGAATGTCGGGCGCGGAATGTCGGGCGCGGAATGTCGGGCGCGGAATGTCGGGCGCGGAATGTCGGGCGCGGAATGTCGGGCGCGGAATGTCGGGCGCGGAATGTCGGGAGCGGAATGTCGGGAGCGGAATGTCGGGAGCGGAATGTCGGGAGCGGAATGTCGGGTACAGAATGTCGGGTACAGAATGTCGGGTACAGAATGTCGGGTACAGAATGTCGGGTACAGAATGTCGGGTACAGAATGTCAGGTAGCTACAATAAGCTTTTTTTCAACACTGACCATCTTCCACTGTGGTAAGGTAACCTGGAAAAGAAGAAACATTTTCCCATCACTCTCCTGCCAGAGGGGCTCCAATACTACAATTCTAAACTGCAAATATCCCTATACCTCCTTCAGAGTGTAGTCACTGCACTTTCCACCTCCAGGACTCAAGTTTGACTAGCCAGCTTCCCTAATCCCTTCATAAGTGTTGCCTTGCTAACTCTCCAACAGCATTTCAAGCCACAAATACCACTTGCCTCCACTCACTCCTATCTAAGAAGCTCAAACGCGCTTGCTGGATGTCTAAGTTCCTCGCACACAAAACCTCTAACAGGGGTGCCCCCTCCCTCCAACCTTTCCTAGGATGACCCCTACCCTCCCTTCCCTCCACTACAGATTTATATTTATAAGCACTCCAAATCACCCTATTGTGTTCCATCCTATCTAAGTATCTGAACTGCCTCAACAACCCCTCTTCAGCCCTCTGGACAATACTTTTAGTAGCTCTGCATCTCCTTCTAATTTCCACACTATAAATTCTCTGCATAATGTTCACACCACACACTGTCTTCAGACACGACGTCAACACTGCCTCCAGCCGCCTCCTTGCTGCAATATTCACAAGTCATGTTTCACACCAGAAACCGGTTAGCCAGACTTAAATTTTGGAGGTGGGAAGTACAATGCCTGCACTTTAAAGGAGGGGTTTGTGATATTTGCTGTTTCGAGTGACATCTGAACTGTTGTATCTAAATGCCTTTGCAAAGATGGTGATTATGTGTGATTGATGGTGAAAGTATTTCTTTTCTAGGTCCCCCTTCCTCGATGGTAGACTGCAGGCATTAAAATAAAAGAAAAAGGTGTTGGTATCACTATACTCTCATACATTCCCCCTTTTTGCCTCTATGGATAACATTCTATGTTTCTATAGATGCCTCAATGCACCCCTCACCTTTTTCCCTTTGTCAGTTCTATGATTTTCCAGGTCTTTCACAGACTCACCTGCTGACAAGTCCACTCCCAAATATCTGAACACATTCACTTCCTAAATACTCCTTCCCTTCAATCATATATCTAATCTTTCATTACCAAAAGTTTTTGTTAACCTCATCACCTTGCTCTTCCTTATGGTCACTTTCAATTTCCTTCTTTTACACACCCTCTCAAATTTATCCACCAACATTTTCAACTTTTCTTCAAAATCTCCCAAAAGCGCCGTGTCATCGGCGAAAAGCAAGTGTGAGAGCTCCCACTTTGAATTCGATTCTTCATCTTTTAATCCCACATGGTACAATATGTGAAGTACAGTATGCAAGTGTACAACTCTGCATTCATGGAAATACCTAATCAGCCAATCATGTGGAAGCACATCAATGAATAAAAGCATGCAGACATGGTCAAGAGGTTCAGTTATTGTTCAGACCAAGTGTCAGAATGGGGAAGAAATGACCATGGAATGATTGTTGGTTTAAGTATCTCAGAAACTACTGATCTGAGATTTTAATGCACAACAGTCTCTAGAGTTTACAGAGAATGATGTGAAAAACACAAAACATCCAATGAGTGGCAGTTCTGTGGGCAAAAAATGCCTTGTTAATGAGAGTGGTCAAATAAAAATGACCAGACTGATTCAAGGTGACAGTAATTTGAATAATTATGCATTACAACAGTGGTATGGAGAAGAGCAATCTGAATGCACAAAACATAGAACATTGAGGTGGACTTGATACAGCAGTAAAAGACCACACCGGGTTCCACTCCTGTCAGCTAAGAACAGAATACTGAAGTTACAGTGGACACAAGGTTCACCAAAACTGGACAGTTGAAGATTAAAAAAATGTTGAGTGGCCTGATGAATTGTGATTTCTGTTGCAACATGTAGATGTTATGAATCCATGGATCCATCCCGCTTTGTGTCAACAATGCTGGCATGGGGATGGTTTTCCTAGCACACCTAAGGCCCCATTATACCAAATGAATATCATTTAAATGCCACAGCCTACCTGAGTACTGATGCTGACCATGTGCATCCCTTTATGGCCAGTCTACCCATCTTCCAATGGATACTTCCAGCACAATGCACCATATCACAAAACACATGTCATCCCAAGCTGGTTCCACAAACATGACAATGAGTTCAGTATATTCCAACAGTCACCAAATCTCAATCCTATAGAACACCTATAGGATGTGGTGGAATGGGAGATTCACAGAATGGATATGCAGCTGACAAATCTACAGTAACTGTGTGATGCTACCATGTCAACATGGAACAGAACCTTTTAATAAAAGTTACCAGCACCTTGAAGAATTCAGGCTTTTCTGAGAGCAAAGAGGGGCCCTACCCAGTACTAGAAGGGTGTACTTAATAAAGTGGTCACCGAGAGTACATAACATTGCTGATTACGACCAATTGTTTTATTTGAGAAATTCATCATTGAATTCAAATTCTTAACTGGAAATGTGTTTAAAAGCTGAGTAAAAAGCTTACCACATTAGTGCCATTAGTGAGAGGTTGTGTGACAGGAGCTGCCACTGTCGGAGCGACACTCCCCACTGTACCGTTAGTCAACCCCTGCACAGGTACACTATCAGACTGAAATTACATACATAACAGTCAAAAAGTTTTATAAAAGTCAAACAAAACTGTCAAAATTATAGATATCGGTCAAACAATTATACACAGTACAAGTCAAACAAAATTTGAAGGAAACCTTCACAAGGAAAAAGCTGCTGACTATTACAAAACTTCTGGATGTTTTCAATCAACAATAATTAAATCAGCGGATACATTTTGAAGACAATAATGTGGCAAAAAAAAAAAAAAAAAAAGCACCAGAGGAAAAAAAACTGCCAAGGACAAGTGAAAATTTTGCACATTTTAAAATAAATTTGAATATAAATATACAGCCCTTTTGAAGAAAGAGTAAAATGTCACAATACTATGGTTGGAACAATATACAAATAACTCGCACTTGCCGTCCTCACCATGAACTCTCCTTGCTAGATTCACTATTTACTTAACCTGACTTTGTTCACGGGAAAACCTGCAAAATTCTATATTACACAAGGCCATAATTTTCCCCACCCTGCATTTATTATTGATTGGGAAACTGTATCCCATTGCTTGCTGACATAAATTATTGCATGTGCATCTTTCAATTGACACCATAACTCTGGCATACCAGTGTCTGAGCTGTCATCCATTGCTGCCATGAGTTCCTGCATGACCTTGCATGTATAGTGGCACTTAAATGTTTTAAACACTTCTCACTCCAGTAGTTGTATCAAAGATGTCATATTTGGTGGTTTAAAGACACACATGAGCACACACTAGGACATATTTATTAGAAAACATTTTGGTCCTGGAACTGTGCTCACTTCTAAAGCTGATCAAAATCCTGGGACCAAAACACTTTCTAACAAACATGTCCTAGTGTTTGCTTATGTTTTAAACCAATCTGTGAGTATCTATTACCAAGGTTTATAACATATTTAGTGGTAAAAACACAAGTGACATATTTGGGTAGAGACAACATGATTTGATACTGGCTACAGGAAATATCAAGAGGAGAATGAAGAGTTCTTCTGGAATGAAATGAATGAAAGGTTCTTCTAGAACAAGTAGATCTTGACTAAAGAAAAGTCATGAACCACTCAACAATGGAAATAAATGGGCGAAACATCAAGGGACCTCCAAACACGTATTTCAGAACACCAATACGCAAGCAGGTCTGACGACACAAGGAATGCCTGCGTACAACACCGTAATTCACACAACCACTTGATAAACTACAGAAACTCAAGACTTATCGCCACAGAAGACAACACTCAATACCGAAGAATCCTGGAATCATCACTTATTTCTATATCCGACAACTTCAACCAGAATAGTGGCTTCTATAACATAGCTGAACCACTTGCCAAGAAACTTCTTCATCGCTATCCCACATAAGAACACTGTAGAAGGTCTGCTCACAAACTTATCCAATCTCCTTTCCAAGCTACCCAAGTTTTTAGACTCTATAGCCCCACTCGGTACATCATCAGATGCAGCATTCTTCACCTGACCTCAGCCGGACTATAAATACTCGCGTTCCTTCCACCCCAGGTAGTTCTGTTTGTGACTTGAAAAAGCCCACTGTGTGGGCGAAACGTAGTCAATAAAGGATCACATTATACTGCATTTGTGTTTATATTGCCAACCACTCAACAAACAAGCCTTCAGTCATCCATGCTGCTTTTTTTCTTTGGACAACAAAATAAGAGGCAAAGTGATTCTGTCTTTATGCATGCTTACTTTCCCTAACTTTACAGCAAGATCAGCCAGACACTTTTCCCAAGCACAGTAGACTTTAGTACAAAATCTCAATCATGATTTATTGAAAATATGAACCCTCAGTTTGAGATACGAGATTCTACTGTATATATAAAGACAGGTACAAACAACGGTGAGGTGCATGGGAGCATTTCAGGACAAGATAGATATGTAGTTCAATCACAACTACAGGAAAAGAGCACTTAAAATTAAGAATACACCCAAAATAGAGAAACAAACTGACAGGTACATTATTTTTCCCACCTGAAGTGTTCTCACCAACCAAGTCAACACACTACCTAGAAGCAACAACACTCAAGTCATCACTTCCACTACCATCATAGACCTTACTAGGGCCAAACACACACACCACAATGCAAAAAAAGTATGAGTTTAAATCATTCCTAGCAATGAATGTGACAAATTTTATGAAAGGAAAATTTCACAGGAAACTGTCAGATGGGTTAAAGAACACCAATATACATTCAGAATGTACTATACAATGTACATGTTATACAACAAGAAACTGACAATCACCTCAAGAACTGGACAGATGCTAAACTAGTTATTAAAAATAAGACAGAGATAGATATTTAGAATCTGCCTTAACCAATACTTCTAACACAATTACACATAATCAGTAGATTTATACTACAAGAGGTTACACTATATGGCAAGATATCCAGTCATCCAAGAAAAATCATAACTGGTCTAGTGTATACCTCACTTGACCTCACCTTTGTCTCTACCCATATATACAGAATATTTCTTTTTCTCATATATTCCCTAGTGATTTTATCAATCTCACTGTGTGGGGGAAATATTGTCACTAATGAAGGTATTAACCTGTAAACGGTCCAAACTTATATACACATTCACTACCCCAGTGCCCCGAATATTTTGAAAAATAAAAAATCGTTTTTTTTTTATTGAAAAAAAAGAGCACATTTTTCTAAGTGTTATAGGATAAAAAAAAAATTTAGAGTCAGTACTTACCAAGATATGAGGCTGCAAAGTTGGCACTTGGGGATCACCTGATGGCAACATGGAGTGCTGCCGCTAGCAAAAGTGTTGCCGACATACCTTTTTTTTCTATTTCTCATATTTTATATAATTTTCATGTTCTGATAATTACAATTTATAGTAGGGGTGGGAGGGAGGGGTGGGGAGGGGAGGGAGGGGTGGGGGGGGGCGGGGAGGGGAGGGAGGGGTGGGGTGGGGAGGGGTGGGGAAGGGTGGGGAGGGAAGGGGAGGGAAGGGAAGGGGAGGGAAGGGGAGGGAAGGGGAGGGAAGGGGAGGGAAGGGGAGGGAAGGGGAGGGAAGGGGAGGGAAGGGGAGGGGAGGGAAAGGGGAGGGAAGGGGAGGGAAGGGGAGGGGAGGGAAGGGGAGGGGAGGGAAGGGGAGGGAAGGGGAGGGAAGGGGAGGGAAGGGGAGGGGAGGGAAGGGGAGGGGAGGGAAGGGGAGGGAAGGGAAGGGGAGGGGAGGGGAGGGGAGGGAAGGGAAGGGGAGGGAAGGGGAGGGAAGGGGAGGGGAGGGAGGGAGGAGAAAAATACATAATAATAATAAAATAATAAGTAGCCTTGAAGCATGAAAAACCAAGTCCACTCCTGACAGTGACATGATGAGATGAGATAACATCTGATAAGAGCTGATGTTTGATGAACATACATGAGGCTGGGGAAGGGTGCAGCAGATAAGAAAAGATTAGAGGTGACTTTTGATGAGCATCGCCCTGCTTTGTTTTTGCTGGTACACAAACATGTCTGTCTATTTGTCTGACTGTCAAGCTCCCTGTCTATCCGTCTAGCTCTCTGTCTCAGAGAGCCACAAGACTGCGTCATTACCTTTACTCACATCTTCAAGCAGAGTATAGCACTTTGTCTGGATTTTTTGGGTTATCCTAGGTAATTTACACTATGTATACGTGTATTTATGTGTACCTGTGAGACAGGGATAGAGACAGAAACAGATAGACACAAAGATAGACAAAGACAGTGATAGAGACAGAGACAGAGACAGACATAGATACAGACAGACAAACGGAGATAGAGCCAGGCCGCCAGCAGCCGGCCAGCCACACAGCTGGCCACCATGCAGCTAGCCAGCCAGCTAGCCAGCCAATCAGTCAGCCAGTCATCCAGCCAAGCAGCCAGCCAGCCTGCCAACCAGCCAGCCTGCCAGCCAGCCAGAATTGTTTCTCTTGACTTAGGACATAGATTATAAAACATTCTGATAGGGTGTTGCACAAATATTGCACATGGGTTATTATCGAGGTTTTCTGATACTTCCTTGACCACTTGTGGCACATCCACCTCAAAGCCACTAAACTCAGGGTCAAAATCACTTTCCTCTTAACCCTTTGACTGTTTTCGACGTATAAATACGTCTTACGAGCCAATGTTTCTGACGTATATATACTCAATAATTCTACCAGCTTCAAATCAAGTGGGAGAAAGCTGGTAGGCCCACATGTGAGAGAATGGGTCTGTGTGGTCAGTGTGCACCACATAAAAAAAATCCTGCAGCACACATTGCGTAATGAGAAAAAAAAACTCTGATCGTTTTTTTGGAATAAAACGCCGACTTTGAGGTGTATTTTCGTATAGTATTTATCGTTGTATTCGCGTTTTCATGGTCTTAGGTGATAAAATGGAAAACATATTACAGAAATAGAGATGATTTTCCTTACTTTTATGATGAAAACGACCTTGAAACTGAGCTCAAAGTAGCGGAAATGTTCGATTTTTACCAATGTTCAAGAGTAAATAAATCACACCACACGTCCAATACACGTCAACTGGGGAGTCTAATATTCTTCCACTAGTGCACTGATATTATTTATACCATTTTTACAATAATGCAGTCGTCTGCATAACAGTAAATTTTGTATTTTTTTGTATGAATAAAAAATCAAAATAGAAAGCAATAATAATATAAGAGGGGCCTAGAGATGTGACTAATGAACAGAGCATATGTTATTTTAGTGCCACGAATGTCTAACTTGTTTATTCTGGACCCTATTTTGAAATTGGCATCTTTTTTATTTTTCGTGAAATTGGCCAAATTGCCAATTTCTGACCACCATATTGGGTAGTCCAAATTAGTAAATGGGAGGTTTCTTGTACTCAGCTGATAGATAAAATGGAGTTCTAAAGAAATAGCTATGAGTTTGGTCAACTGGAACAATGGAATTGGCTGAAAATTGGGCTCAAAGTCGGCGAAATCGCCGATACGCATATGTCGCCGAGACCGCTAACTTTGCGGGAGCATAATTCCAC